CCTTACAAAAGTCTTCCAGTTCTTTGAGATTTCTGGGCTGTCTGTCACGCACGGCTCTTTTAAGGTCTATCCATAGATTTTCAATGATGTTGAGGTCAGGAGATTGTGAAGGCCATGGCAAAACCTTCAGTTTACGCCTCTTGATGTAATCCCCCGTGGATTTCCAGGTGTGTTTAGGATCATTATCCATTTGTAGAAGCCATCCTCTCTTTAACTTCAGCTTTTTCACAGATGGCATCAAGTTACCATCCAAAATTTGCTGAAATTTTATTGAATCCATTTTTCCTTCTACTCGTGAGATGTTCCCTGTGCCACTGGCTGCAACACAACCCCAAAGCATGATTGATCCAACCCATGCTTCACAGTTGGACAGAGGTTCTTTTCATTCAATTCTGTGCCACTTCTTCTCCAAACGTACCTTTGCTCATTCCGGCCAAAAAGTTCAATTTTAACCTCATCGGTCCACAGAACTTGTTTCCAAAATGCATCAGGCTTGTCTATATGTTCATTTGCAAAGTTCAAACGATGATTTTTGTGGTGAGGACGTAGAAGAGGTTTTCTTCTGATGACTCTTCCATGAAGACCATATTTGTACAAGTATCTCTTTATAGTGGAATAGTGACCACAACTCCAGTGTCTGCCAGATCTTTCTGGAGGGATCGTGCAGTCAAACGTGGGTTTTGAATTGTTTTTCTCACAATCCTGCGAGCTGTTCTGTCTGATATTTTTCTTGGTCTTCCAGATCTTGCTTTAACTTCCACTGTTCCTGATGACTGCCATTTCTTAATGACATTCCGAACAGAGGATATTGACATCTGAAAACGCTTTGATATCTTTTTATAGCCTTCTCCAGCTTTGTGAGCGTCAACTATTTTCAGTTTCAGTTTTCTAGACAACTGCTTAGAAGAAGCCATGGTGCTGATTGTTGGGGCAAGGTCAGATGAGTCGGGGCATTTAAAACCTTTGAGATTGACATCACCTGGTCTTCCCAGACGATGATTGAGAACAATCCATGACACTGGCAGGTCTCAGCTTTGCAAAGGGGGCAGTGCATGCTATAAATTCTGCAGGGGGCCCAAACTTTTGCAGACGCCATTTTTTTGTTTTCTGTTATTTTGAAAGTGTAAATGATGGAAATAAAATCTAACTTTTGTTGACATATTATAAGAATGTCTAATCTGTAATTTGATGCCTTTTGGAGATTTTTCCATCTTTCCTTGGCTTCTTTAATATTATAAAAAAAAAAAATGTAAAAAAAAAAAAAAAAAAGTTTCAAAATTATAATTTTTTATTATAAACTAATTTGGGTAATTTTTTTTTTTACTAAAAAGATAACGGAATACATTTCGGCCGAGATTTATAATGAACTATTATTTATTTGTAAAATGTTATAAGAAAAACACTTTTTTTTCAAAATTTTTGGACTTTTTCATTTACATAGCAAAAAAAAAAAAAATCCCAGCGGTGAATAAATACCACCAAAATAAACCTTTATCTGTCTCAAAAAAATGCTAACAAATTCATATGGGTACAGTGTTGCATGACCGCGCAATTGTCATTCAATGTGTGATAGCGCTGATAGCTGAAAATTGGCCTGAACGGGAAGGGGGGAAAGTGTCCGGACTGGAAGGGGGTAAAAATTCCTCCCACTTACACCAATGATGGGGCACTATTCCTCCCACTGACACCAATGATGGGGCACTATTCCTCCCACTGACACCAATGATGGGGCACTATTCCTCCCACTGATACCAATGATGGGGCACTATTCCTCCCACTGACACTAATGACGGGGCACTATTCCTCCCACTGACACTAATGACGGGGCACTATTCCTCCCACTGATACCAGGGATGGGGCACTATTCCTCCCACTGACACCAATGACGGGGCACTATTCCTCCCACTGATACCAGGGATGGGGCACTATTCCTCCCACTGACACCAATGATGGGACACTATTCCTCCCACTGACACTAATGACGGGACACTATTCCTCCCATTGACACCAATGACGGGGCACTATTCCTCCCACTGATACCAGGGATGGGACACTATTCCTCCCACTGACACCAATGACGGGGCACTATTCCTCCCACTGATACCAATGACGGGGCACTATTCCTCCCACTGACACCAATTCCTCCCACTGACACCAATGACGGGACACTATTCCTCCCACTGACACCAATGATGGGGCACTATTCCTCCCACTGATACCAATGATGGAGTACTATTCCTCCCACTGACACCAATGATGGGGAACTATTCCTCCCACTGACACCAGTGATGGGGTACTATTCCTCCCACTGACACCAATGATGGGGCACTATTCCTCCCACTAATACCAATGATGGGGTACTATTCCTCCCACTAATACCAATGATGGGGCACTATTCCTCCCACTAATACCAATGATGGGGTACTATTCCTCCCACTAATAACAATGATGGAGTACTATTCCTCCCACTGACACCAATGATGGGGCACTATTCCTCCCACTGACACCAATGATGGGGCACTATTCCTCCCACTGACACCAATGATGGGGCACTATTCCTCCCACTGACACCAATGATGGGACACTATTCCTCCCACTGACACCAATGATGGGGCACTATTCCTCCCACTGACACCAATGATGGACACTATTCCTCTTTCCACTGACTACAAGCACTATGTCATTTTTTACCCTTACTGATGCTGGGACATTGTCTACTCCCACTGGCCACTTTGGCCCTCCTAAAGTCTGAGAGACAATAAACCGGCCCTTTGGTTAGAAAGTTTGGAGACTCCTGTCATAGACACAATGAGCACTTAATCCGTATAGTACGGGCACAGCCCCACTGCATGGAGATATAAACCTTTTTCCTGGAGTTCTGCTCTCAAGCATATCTTAGGAGGGGAGAGGAAGCTCAGGATTCATTGAACCATGCCCCTCCCACTAGTAACACAAGCAGCTCGCACCACAATATTATGTCCCTTGGAATGCCCAAAGGTTCCTCCAGTCCTTGGCAATCCTAGCAATGCCCCTGGCCTGCAGGATGTTCATTTCAGCTGCACTCACTGTACCTGATTGTCTGTTTAGGTCGCCTTTATGATGGACTTACACTGTCTTCTGATGTGGAAGATCAGTTTGCACAGATACGTGGATCCAAATACAGAGATCAATGCAAAGGCCACCTTTTTCATACAGAAGAATTACACTACAGACGCGATAATATTTACCTTAATTACAGGTATATTTTAATGAGAAATATCAAATTATTTGTATATACAAAATTGATATTCTGGGTGCGTCTAAAATGGCTTAGCATGCCCACCTTGGCCCCCCCGGCCTTAGGCTGCTGAAGCTGGAAAATAACGACTTTGTGCAGCAAACATATCACATCGGCACAGTAACATGCAACAGCATTCCAAACCTTGGTGGAATTCCACGCCTTATGCTAGAGGAACCACATCCTGTCCATCCACGTCAACAGGTAGAAGTTCCTTTCCTCCAAGAAGTCATTATCTCTGGTAAATTTTGCAGAGTGATCCATCTCCAAACTGGCTCCTGTTGGCTGGTATCTTTATTAGGAAAGGGATGTCTTCTTATGATGTGGAAGCCTCTAAATCTGGCTGCACTAGACTGGTATAAACTTTAGGAAGAAGGTGGCTGCTTGTGATGAGAAGTCCCTCAAGGCTGGCTCTCATGGGCTGGTATCTCTATTATTAATGGGATGCCACTTGTGTTGAAGATTCCTACCAAACTGGTTCTGATGGGCTAGTATCTGTATTAGGTATGAGGTCTGCTTGTGATGAGGAGTCTTTTGAAACTGGCTCTGGTGGGCTGGTATCTCTATTAGGAAAGGAGTGTCCACTGATGTTGAGGAGTCTTTCAAAACTGGCTCTGGTGGGCTGGTATCTCCATTAGGAAAGGAGTGTCCACTGATGTTAAGGAGTCTTTCGAAAACTGGCTCTGGTGGGCTGGTATCTCTATTAGGAAAGGAGTGCCCACTAATGTTGAGGAGTCTTTCGAAACTGGCTCTAGTGGGCTGGTATCTCTATTAGGAAAGGAGTGTCTACTGATGTTGAGGAGCCTTTTGAAACTGGCTCTTGTGGGCTGGTATCTTATATAAGGAATGGGATGACTCCTGGTGATAAGAATTCCAAACAGAACTTGCTCTAGTGGGCTGCTATCTCTTTTAGGAAAGGAGTGTCCACTGATGTTGAGGAGCATTTCAAAACTGGCTCTGGTGGGCTGGTATCTCTTTTAGGAATGGAGTGTCCACTGATGTTGAGGAGTTTTTCAAAACTGGCTCTGGTGGGCTGGTATCTCTTTTAGGTATGAGATGTCCATGTCTGATAAATCTTTCAGAAGCTGCTCTGTTGGGCTGGTATGTCTCTTAGGTATGATATGTCCGCCTGGGATAAGGAGTCTTTAAAAACTGGCGCTGGTAGGCTGGTATCTCTACTGAGCATGAGATATGTGTTTTATATGAGGAATCTTTTGAAACTGGCTTTGGTGGACTGCTATCTCCATTAGGAATCGGATGTCTGCTTACGATGAGGAATCTTCAAAACTGGGTCCAGTGGGATGGTATCTTTATAAGGAATGGGATGACTCCTGGTGATAAGAATTCCAAACAGAACTTGCTCTAGTGGGCTGGTATCTCTAATAATGAAATATCCGCTTATGATGAGAAGTCCTCCAAAACTGATCTCTATTATCAATGAGATTCTAATGTGATAAAGAATCCTCAATAACGCCGGATCAAAATGAAAGTCTTGCGGTTTGTAACACATGGTTGGCAAACTTATATTTTGGCCCAAATATGATATAAATTGAAGATTGGGGTCCAAGAATCTAGACTAGCTTTAACACCAGTGAGCTACAAGACCATCAGAGATGGAAGCTGCTACCGGAGACAAAGGTTTTTCAACATGATACTGAGCGAGGGTTTCCTATTTTCTGTAGTCAGGACACGAGAAGACCAGTCTTAAGACTTCAACATCTGCTTAGTCGCTGCTTGGACGGTTTGCCACGTGCCTCCTTTTGTCATGAATCATGGAATCCTGCATTAGAGACAAGCACAATTCCAGTCATTATGAAAGGCTCATCAAATATAAAGCCCAGATATGATAATAGAGAATTAACGAGCCATTAACACCTTGTTGGCTGTGTGTTTATGACTTCCCTTTCTATCTGAAGATAACCTTACTACATTGGACAGCAGACATGTGCTAATGTCGGAGGGTACCCAACATGTACACCTAGGGTGGGAGTACAGACAAAAATAATGGTGCACAGGGACCCCCCTCCCTATTATTTCATAGCACCACCTGAGACTCTAAAATAGGTAATAGTGACCTCAGCACCTCACTGTGGGAAGTTTGGAGAAGATGTAGCTATACTCCGACTTTCACAAAGTGGCTGTGTTCACTGGGAGTCCAAGAGGTTCTCGGGCTGCATTGGATCCACATGTTTAGAAGCTGACAACATTGGCCCAGATACTGATTCTTCTGGCACACTGTAACCCATTGGTAGCATATTCTGGCTAGAACTAGTATTGACTGAACTCAAGAGGATTAGTTCCCTGGTCTCCTCCTCCCATGCCCACCTCCAGGACTTCTCCAGGGTGTCACCTATCCTCTGAAACTCCCTGCCCCAACCCATCAGATTATCACTTACTCTCCTCTCCTTAGGCGCACCCTGAAAACCCACCTCGTCAGAGAAGCCTACCCCACCCCCTGCTAACTTGCCGACCTCCTCCATTCTTCCTACCACTCCATCCCCCACAGCTATCTCCTCCTGTGCCACCATCCCCTCCCTCCTAGATTGTAAGCTCCAAGGAGCAGGGCCCTCAATCCCCTCATGTTTTGCATTGTATTGGTATTGTTCTGTCACATGTTCTGTCTCCCTTTGTAATGTACAGCGCTGAGCGAACTATTGGCGCTTTATAAATACTGTATAATAATAATAATAATAATCTGCTACCATCTGGCAAATGTAGGTCCATGGTCTCAATCACAGGGTGGAGAATCTGCCACCGATTGCCAGCTAAGAGGAAATCTTAATACTCTCCTTGAAGATCTTATGCTTTATGTCAGGCAAGATGGCTCTTCTAGGCGGATCCTAATGCTCATACATGCGCATCTATCACTAATGTTGACCCCAGGCAGGCTATTTAAATTGAACCAATGCTCAGGTTCAGTGCTGTCTTGTCTACAGGGTTTCCCATCTGATTTGTGATGCGGTACTTGCATCGAATACCAGTTACTGGACCAGCTAGCCCTGACCATTCCTTGGACTCTGTCTGCCTTGAATTTGGCTTGCTTCCTGAGCTCTGCTCCTGTTGCCACTGTACTGCTCATCTGGTATCGACCCCGACTGGTATCCTGACCATGTTTTTCTCTATGTACTCGTACCTGTTCCAATTACCAGTCTCTGAGCAGGCATGTCTGACTTCACTGTTCCTCTACTTGCTTGCTAGCAATCTGCTCCAAGCACCTACCTGCTATAAGCTGCCGCCTATTGATCATCTGCTCATTGACCAGCCAGCACCTGCCCATCACCTACCTACTACCAATTACTGCCTGCTCACCACCTGACGGCTACCAGCCAGTACCCCTGCTCTACATTTGCCTTCTGCCAGCCAGGACCTGTTTTTTCCAGCCTGCTACTTAGCTGCTATCACCCAGGCAGTCCATTCCTCTGTGGTCCGCTGTCTACTTTTTTCTTCTCTGGCTTGAACACTATCTGCTGCTAACAAGATCAACAGCCACTCATGCCACTCTGGGCTCTTGCACCACCTGTCTTCTCTATCAGGGGCACTGAGCCAGAGGTGTAGGAGATGCCCTCCGCATCACGTCAGGCTCCGCCACCAGGTACTTGACACTTTATTTTAGAGTGTAGATCCCTACCTCAGACCTTAGAGTGTGACTAGGCTCGTAGGCATTTATCTACCATGTAGTAATGGCCTTATAATGTGTGACATATTACCTGTATATTTAATCTATTTAAGGTGTTATTTGGTATGGTATGGTCTAAATACGGGCAAACGCACACAATGCATTTACAATTGACAACTGTCCATTGGCCGTTCACTTCCTGACCTCTGGTCCGTAAGATTAACAGGATACCCATGTACTGGAAGGGAGTACAGATTGGCAGGAGACCCATGTTCTGTAAGAGGAAGGAGGAGAGCAAGGGACCTTTTTTTTTCTTAAAAAGGAGACTGTAGGAGGGTATGGGCCAACTCTCTGGAAGAGAGTACAGGTGGACAGTAGACCCATGTACTGGAAGCGACAATGAATGGGCATGGTTTTCTGGTTGGGAGCACATGAGAGCAGGAGACATGTATTTTAGAAGGTAGGGCACATTAGCAGGGAACAGATGTTCTGGAAGGGACAGTGGGAGAGCAGCTAAACTGTGTACTGGATAGAAGTGTGGGAGTGCATAATACCAAAGTTCCTGAAGGCAGTGTGAATGGGCAGAAGAAATGTGTCCTGGAAGATAGGATTAATGGGCAGGAGAACCATGTCCTGGAACATAGTTGGATGGGCAGAATATCTATCTTATGAAATAGACAGTAGGAGAGCAAGAGAACTTCTTTTGGAAGGACAGGGCAGAAGATCCATCTTCTGGATGGAACCAGTAAAGTGAATGGGCAGAGAACTATTTATAATAGGGTGGATTGCCAGGAGGCCCATATTCTGGAAGGGACAATGGCAGCATTGGAGATCGTTGTTCAGAAAGGTATGGAGGATGGGCAGGAGATCAGAAACAATGGGAGGACTGGCCCATGCTCAGGGAGGTACAGTGGGAGGGCTATAGACCAGTGGTTAGGAGGGGATGTGTGGATGAACTCTTGTGAGTGAACTAGTAATATACAAAGGTCATTGACTATAGATGTCAGTACTGTTCATTCTGTGAAAAATTGCAGCACTGCCTCACCCCGGGTACACACGGGACGTTTTTTTTTCATGCATCCCAGTGGTTAGTGCAGCGATCTTTCCGCTGAACTATTGTGTTCTGACAGGAAGGCCACCCTCGTGCCAGGACAATCTGATCAGCAATCGCAGTCATTGGCTGTGAGCGTTGATCGGATGCTGGTTTTCCATCATGCTCATTCAGTAGAAGCCGGTCATGCACAATTAGTTATCCAATGTTTTGCAGATCCCTTTAAAGCATATCAAGTGGCAAATGATCAATCCAGTGACCACTCATCTCCTTTTTAAACAACATTTGTCATTTGTTTTTAAACAAATATTTTATCCCAGCTACCTCTGCCTCACTCATTGTACAATGATGATTCAGAGTCTCCCTATTGAGCCTCACTGCACCCGTGACTATTTTAACATACGTTACATGAAATAAAAACGAAGGCAGCGGAATAAAATGCTCATTCACATCTACTGAGATTGCCCCTTGCACTGAAGCAGTAAATAGTACAGTGATGTAAAGAGATGAATGGTGATGTCCTTACCAGATAAAAGCAGGAGGCCAGAATCACCGCTTTCATTGTCACCTCCAGGTCCATCGGAAATGTAACTGTGTATTGGCCTCCCTCACCTTTTATCACCCCAACCACATGCTGCTCATCTCGAGATTTTACCTTCCGGGAAAAAGAGCGGTGGATGGAGGTGATGACAGTCGGGTACACTAGATACAATAGGGAAGGAGATGGTGGTGGATGGAGGTGATGACAGTTGGGTACACTGGATACAATAGGGAAGGAGATGGCGGTGGATGGAGGTGATGACAGTTGGGTACACTAGATACAATAGGGAAGGAGATGGCGGTGGATGGAGGTGATGACAGTCGGGTACACTAGATACAATAGGGAAGGAGATGGCGGTGGATGGAGGTGATGACAGTCGGGTACACTAGATACAATAGGGAAGGAGATGGCGGTGGATGGAGGTGATGACAGTTGGGGGATACAATAGGGAAGGAGATGGCGGTGGATGGAGGTGATGACAGTCGGGTACACTAGATACAATATGGAAGGAGATGGCGGTGGATGGAGGTGATGACAGTTGGTACACTAGATACAATAGGGAAGGAGATGGCGGTGGATGGAGGTGATGACAGTTGGGTACACTAGATACAATAGGGAAGGAGATGGCGGTGGATGGAGGTGATGACAGTCGGGTACACTAGATACAATAGGGAAGGAGAGGAGATGGCGGTGGATGGAGGTGATGACAGGGGGTACACTAGATACAATAGGGAAGAAGATGGCGGTGGATGGAGGTGATGACAGTCGGGTACACTAGATACAATAGGGAAGGAGATGGCGGTGGATGGATGGTGATGACAGTCGGGTACACTAGATACAATATGGAAGGAGATGGCGGTGGATGGAGGTGATGACAGTCGGGGTACACTAGATACAATAGGGAAGGAGATGGCGGTGGATGGAGGTGATGACAGTTGGGTACACTAGATACAATAGGAAGGAGATGGCGGTGGATGGAGGTGATGACAGTCGGGTACACTAGATACAATAGGGAAGGAGATGGCGGTGGATGGAGGTGATGACAGTCGGGTACACTAGATACAATAGGGAAGGAGATGGCGGTGGATGGAGGTGATGACAGTTGGGTACACTAGATACAATAGGGAGGAAGGAGAGGTCAGTTGATGGAGGTGATGACAGTTGGGTACACTAGATACAAGAGGGAGGGAGATGATGACAGGTGGATGGAGGTGATGACAGTTGGGTACACTAGATACAATAGGGAAGGAGATGGCAGTGGATGGAGGTGATGACAGTCGGGTACACTGGATACAATAGGGAAGGAGATGGCGGTGGATGGAGGTGATGACAGTCGGGTACACTAGATACAATAGGGAAGGAGGGATGGAGGTGAGACATGTACACAGATTGATAGAGGTGATGACAGTTGGGTACACTAGATACAATAGGGAAGGAGATGGCGGTGGATGGAGGTGATGACAGTCGGGTACACTAGATACAATATGGGAAGGGATGACATGGGTACACTAGATACAATAGGGAAGGTGGATGGAGGTGGATGGCAGTGATGGGTACACTAGATACAATAGGGAAGGAGATGGCGGTGGATGGAGGTGATGACAGTTGGGTACACTAGATACAATAGGGAAGGAAGGAGATGGGGTGGATGGAGGTGATGACAGTCGGGTACACTAGATACAATAGGGAAGGAGGAGATGTGACAGTGGATGGAGGTGATGACAGTGATTGGGTACACTAGATACAATAGGGAAGAAGGTGGCGGTGGATGGAGGAGGTGATGACAGTTGGGTACACTAGATACAATAGGGAAGGAGATGGCGGTGGATGGAGGTGATGACAGTTGGGTACACTAGATACAAATAGGGAAGAAGATGGCGGTGGATGGAGGTGATGACAGTCGGGTACACTAGATACAATAGGGAAGGAGATGGCGGTGGATGGAGGTGATGACAGTTGGGTACACTAGATACAATAGGAAGGAGATGGCGGTGGATGGAGGTAATGACAGTGGGGTACACTAGATACAATAGGGAAGGAGATGGCGGTGGATGGAGGTGATGACAGTTGGGTACACTAGATACAATAGGGAAGGAGATGGCAGTGGATGGGGTGATGGCGGTGGATAGCTGGATACACTAGATACAATAGGGAAGGAGATGGCGGTGGATGGAGGTGATGAGATGATACAATAGGGAAGGAGATGGCGGTGGATGGAGGTGATGACAGTCGGGTACACTAGATACAATAGGGATGGCGGTGGAGGAGGTGATGACAGTCGGGTACACTAGATACAATAGGGAAGGAGATGGCGGTGGATGGAGGTGATGACAGTCGGGTACACTAGATACAATAGGGAAGGAGATGGCGGTGGATGGAGGTGATGACAGTCGGGTACACTAGATACAATAGGGAAGGAGATGTCAGTGGATGGAGGTGATGACAGTCGGGTACACTAGATACAATAGGGAAGGAGATGGCGGTGGATGGAGGTGATGACAGTCGGGTACACTAGATACAATAGGGAAGGAGATGGCAGTGGATGGAGGTGATGACAGTTGGGTACACTAGATACAATAGGGAAGGAGATGGCGGTGGATGGAGGTGATGACAGTCGGGTACACTAGATACAATAGGGAAGGAGATGGCGGTGGATGGAGGTGATGACAGTTGGGTACACTGGATACAATATGGCGGGGGAAGGAGATGGCGGTGGATGGAGGTGATGACAGTCGGGTACACTAGATACAATATGGAAGGAGATGGCGGTGGATGGAGGTGATGACAGTTGGGTACACTGGATACAATAGGGAAGGAGATGGCGGTGGATGGAGGTGATGACAGTCGGGTACACTAGATACAATAGGGAAGGAGATGGCGGTGGATGGAGGTGATGACAGTTGGGTACACTAGATACAACAGGGAAGGAGATGGCGGTGGATGGAGGTGATGATGGTGGGTACACTGGATGGAGGTGATGACGGTGGGATGGAGGTGATGACAGTCGGGTACACTAGATACAATAGGGAAGGAGATGGCGGTGGATGGAGGTGATGACAGTTGGGTACACTGGATACAATAGGGAAGGAGATGGCGGTGGATGGAGGTGATGACAGTCGGGTACACTAGATACAATAGGGAGGGAGATGGCGGTGGATGGGATGGAGGTGATGACAGTCGGGGGGTACACTAGATACAATAGGGAAGGAGATGGCGGTGGATGGAGGTGATGACAGTTGGGTACACTAGATACAATAGGGAGGGAGATGGCAATGGATGGATGGAGGTGATGACAGTTGGGTACACTAGATACAATAGGGAGGGAGATGGTGGTGGATGGAGGTGATGACAGTTGGGTAATTATTCGTTTACCATCATTGGTCTCATCTCATTGCATACCATCCCGAGGGTATGGAGCTGATCCTTTGTTAGGTGGGATACAATAACATAAAAATCGGCAACACCCTAAATTGGTCTAAAGCCAATCCTAGAGATCCAGCCTGCCTCTCCTAGAATGATAGCATGGACTGGACTCTATGCTCATTAGAATTTCCTTTATGAAATACCTCAAAGGCTACGTTCCCGAAGATGCTGGTCTGGAAGCTGGGGCCCAGGATCAGCAAAACAACTTCCTTTGATGGGTTCATAATGGATAAGTGGGTGATTAGGGGCTTGAAGTGCAAAGTAACCAATCCGACGACCCCATATGATGGGACAATCACCTCCATCTAGAACAGACACAAATATTAGAACATGAGCAACTGCAAACAACTGTTTGCCCTAAAAAAGAATGGTCTTTGTCCTGAGTCCACCTTTTACGATCTAGAAGTTAGTAATATTTTGCAATAGTTTTCAGGTACTCTTTGCTTACAATGTCCAAGCTCTGTACATGTATACAGTTTGAAGCTACAGATGATACCCAAACCCTGAGAAAATCCTGCTGAATTGCTTTGTCATGGATAATAATTAAACTCCGATTAATATTAAAGTGGTTAGGTTTAGCTCAGCTTTGAGTTTTCACAAGCCCAGGCCTGAGGAAGCCCAGGATGGACGAAACATGTTGGGAAGCATCACCTGTGCACCGCAGGAAACAGTCAAGCATGTTGTGATTGCTAAGTCTGTTTGAACTGTATCAAATGTAATTTTATGGATATAAATAAATTGTAAATTTAAAAAACATTTGGATTATTTTTACGCACTTCCAAAATCCCATTACCTATGTTTCTCTATATAATTTTGATAGGGATGTCGTGCAATATGTTGGTGGTCAATTACTTGTAATTTTTTCAATTTTCTGGACAGTCCTAGACACTGCATGGATATACTTGTTGGTGGGGGGCTCCTTGTGCAGTGTAGATGGTATGGACATTACAAAGAAAAAAAAACACATACATTTATACCAGGCCCTTTAGGTTTGGGTACCAGTGACATCATACATTTATGTCCATATATGATCAGTGATGTCACCTGAGAAATCCCACCTCTTTGTATATATCAGCCATCATCAGCTGGTCATTTGGTGGGAGAGAAGAGACCTGTCCAGACATGTTGGCAGGTGGCGTTTATTTTCCCTGTTTTGGCGGGTGGCAGTGTCTGGGTGCCCCTGCATTGCTAAAGGGAGCTTCTAGATTCTGATAAGCCCTCCACCTACAGACCCTCAGAACCACCAGGCCAGGGTTGTGGAGAAGAGGCCCTTGTCCTCATCAACCTGAGTACAATGGAACCCCCTCATGTTGAGGGCATGTGGCCTGTTATGGTTAAGGGGGAGGGTAGAACGCTGATTCCCCTTTTCCACAACCGTCAGGGTCTGGCATGGATTTTTGTGAGGGACCTCAAGATTTATTTCTCCTTGATTTTTGAACAGGGTTCCCCAATAAATAATAGACTGGTATAGAATATGGGGGAAAACGCATGCTGGTTTCTTTTGTGTGGGTGATCCTTTTTAAAATTTATACCCATTGTGAAGCGCCTGGCAGAAATTATGGGGAACCCCTGTGCCTTTTTTTTAACTATCCGGGCCCAACTGCTCACATGGCTGGGGATTCCAAGCTCCTGTATGTACCATAAGTGAATGAGGCCGTGTGACATCACTGCTTGTTAAGGACGTGGTGGTGACAGCAAATCTGCAGTAATTCCATCATTCTACACAAAGTTCCACTGCAACCAAAAGGGGTTCATTTTCGGGCATTTGTTCAAACACCTGAACAGCCAAAGTTCAGTCCAAACTTGTGTTCGGACTGAACCTTAACCTCATCCCTAGTGGTGAGTGACTGTCTTGGTGGGAAAGTAACACAGGAACCTTCCAATGCTGTCCTGCCGTGGAAGAGAACAGTTGTAAAGACTGAGATACCACTAGAACCTCAGCTATGAGGGAGCCGAATTCTAAGTCTAAGAGGTCTATTGATTAAAAATTTGCTGTGTGAATAGCTCAGGCCTATCCAGGGGCGGACTGAGAATTCACGGGGCCCCCGGGCAATAGGGGCTCATGGGGCCCCTGTATCCTCGCCCACACTCAAACCACAGCCACAAAAAAGCCTATGAAAGGTACTAGGGGCATCTCATGGGGCCCCCTACTGACCCTGGGCTCTCGGGCAGTGCCCGAGTGCCCGAATGGTCAGTCCGCCCCTGGGCCTATGCCCTCATGTTTGGACTAGCTGGCTTATTTCTTATGATTGCCAGCTCCATCTAGTGGCCATAATGCAGTATTTTCCTGATTGAGGCATTTCAGGAAAATACCACAATATAGCCACTAGATGGAGCTGGAAGTCATAATAAACATATTAGGGAAAATTCAGGACAGCTGAGCAAATTCTTGAGACATTCACATGGCAATTTTTGTAAAAAAGTAGACTCAACCAGCATATGTAGCACTGAGAGCGAGGTACTCAGAAGGCTAGAAGGACACACAGAATACCAGAGACTGTGTAGAAACCTTAGGGCAGGGGTCTCAAAACTTTGGCCCTCCAGCTGTTGAAGTACTACAAGTCCCATCATGCCTCTGGGAGTCTTGCCTGTGGTTGTCAGAGTCTTGCAAGGCCTCATGGGACTTACAGTTCCTCAACACCTGGAGGGCCATAGTTTGGAGACCCCTGCTTTAGGATATCCCGTGTTCCCCCCTTCTTGTACCCCTATGCACATGTCCAATAAAATCTACAATAAACCCAAATGAAGTGACCAGCAGCCATCACTCCAAAGACCATAATCGCTGCCTGGGACGAAGGTTCCAGGCAACAAATTCATTGACTTAGAACATTGGCAATGTATCTATTGGACAGCCGGAGACCAATATTCATTCCCAACGATGAAGTCTCGTTACCAATAACATTAGTAATATATAATAAGTCGTATAAAAACCACCAACCAGACGAGAGCAGGTACATGCGCGGTGTTCCAGCACCTCCATGACATCCTGACCCGCATTGTCTTTGACCTTCAGATTGTAGATCGGCCCGCAGCACTCCACGGTCTGAGTGGCCTGATATATCCGTTGGCCCATCTGATCCAGAACATCAAAGCTCCGCCCCCAGCCTTGTGACACCGTGACTACAAGAAAAAGAAAAGGACGTTGTGGGAAAATACTAAGCTTTGTGGCGAGATTGGTCACTGTCTGTGTACCTCGGACACAGCCGATGACAGATCTGTGTACCAGCCATGTTGCCAGTACCATGTGACCTGCTGTGGTCACATGACAGTTGTATACAATGGACGGCTTCCTTTCATGCCATCCATTGTATCAGTGTTAACAATGAAAACCAGCGCAAACCCACATATTCAATTGCATTACTCAACTTGAAAAATCATTTTTTTGCTAATAAAGATATATATAATAAATTATATATAAATAAATTAATATAAAAATAAAAACATTAAATTAAATTCATAAGTCCAGTGACAAAAAAAATCAAGTGATAAAAAATCGAAAAAGTCCCAAAAATATATATATATATTTAACAGTCCCGTGACAAAAATAAATCAATTTATAATTATCATTGGATTCTTCCGTGTTACTGATCCCTTCACCATCCACCAGTGCAGAAATCAACATTAACCGCACTCACCAGATATTAGTAAGTCACACGCCTTTCAGGAATATTAAGGGCTCCTGGACCCCCTTTACTTTTGTGAGACCTCCAAATGCTGTTTCCTCTTATATTTGGGTACCTCTTCTGCTTACTCCTCTCACCGAATCCCCCAAAGAAAATCAGGAAAAAGAAAAGACCATAGCGTGATACCGTAGTAATCTCTCCTCCAAATAATCTCTCCAGACCACTCACATTCTTTTGCGGGATATAGCCCGCCTTTTATTCAAAACAACAATGATTTTCTTCCAAAATGATCCACTTTTCAGGTACACCGACTTCTTATAAGAGACCCCACAGTCTAGTGTGCAGCAGGATGGCAGACCTCAGCTACAGACTCATCTACTAGGCTAAGATGGCCCCTTGGAACGCACCGCACGGCGTGCGCTCCACTCACCGGAAATGACGTCAGACGACGGACCAGGCAACCGGAAGTGCGTCAACGCGTTTCACCCCACCCACAGGGCGTTATCAAGACTTGTAATAAAAGGCGGGCTATATCCCGCAAAAGAATGTGAGTGGTCTGGAGAGATTATTTGGAGGAGAGATTACTACGGTATCACGCTATGGTCTTTTCTTTTTCCTGATTTTCTTTGGGGGATTCGGTGAGAGGAGTAAGCAGAAGAGGTACCCAAATATAAGAGGAAACAGCATTTGGAGGTCTCACAAAAGTAAAGGGGGTCCAGGAGCCCTTAATATTCCTGAAAGGCGTGTGACTTACTAATATCTGGTGGGTGCGGCTAATGTTGATTTCTGCACTGGTGGATGGTGAAGGGATCAGTAACACGGAAGAATCCAATGAAAATTATAAATTGATTTATTTTTGTCACGGGACTGTTAAATATATATATATTTTTTTGGGACTTTTTCGATTTTTTATCACTTGATTTTTTTTGTCACTGGACTTATGAATTTAATTTAATGTTTTTTTGTTTTTATATTAATTTATTTATATATAATTTATTATATATATCTTTATTAGCAAAAAAATGATTTTTCAAGTTGAGTAATGCAATTGAATATGTGGGTTTGCGCTGGTTTTCATTGTTAAAAGTTTTTTGGTCTTTGTACCTGTGCACAGCAGCATCTCACGGGGATTTGTGTGTTAAATAGGAGAGTCCTGGGCGCTGAGGTTTTGTTTTCTTTACATTGTATCAGTGTGTCTAGTTGTGAATGGTCACAGCGATCACATGCACAAACTGGGCCTATCACAGCCCATCTGTGTCATGTGATTAGCCGTGTCCAGTCATAGCTGATCGCAACAAAAAAAACCTGAAAAAATCGATTTCATTCAGGTAAATGCTTGCTTAGAGCAAAGGAATTATTTGATATAAGCAATCATATTGTGTACAAAAAAAAAAAATTCTGATCACTTCCCCAGAGTAGAACAATGTTACTCTGGTAGCATTATATTACTTTGGGCATAGTGTAATATATAAAAACAATTGTAAACAAAAATGTAATTAAAAAAAAAAATGAAATAACTTTGTTTTTTTTTAAATTATCAAATTTTTTTATTTTCATACTGTCACCAGTCAGTGTCCCTGATCACCGCCATGCCAGTTATATGCTGACGCTGTACTGCTCTGGTGACAGAATGTGTAAAAAAAAAAAAAAGTAAAAATATTTTTTTTCATTACTCCATTTTCCAAAAAAATGACAAAAAAACTTGCCATGCCTCTTATGTAATATACGTCAGACTGTCTACTTTGAAAAAAGGGGTCATTTGGGAGATATCTGTCCTGTCCTGACATTTGGGGGATATCTGTACCGTCCTGACATTTGGGGGATATCTGTCCTGTCCTGACATTTGGGGGATATCTGTCCTGTCCTGACATTTGGGGGATATCTGTACTGTCCTGACATTTGGGGGATATCTGTACCGTTCTGACATTTGGGGGATATCTGTACTGTCCTGACATTTGGGGGATATCTGTACCGTTCTGACATTTGGGGAATTTGTACTGTCCTGACATTTGGGGGGAATTTGTACTGTCCTGACATTTGGGGGGAATTTGTACTGTCCTGACATTTGGGGGATATCTGTACTGTCCTTACATTTGGGGGGATATCTGTACTGTCCTGACATTTGGGGGGAATTTGTACTGTCCTGACATTTGGGGGGATTTGTACCGTCCTGATATTTGGGGGGATTTGTACCATCCTGACATTTGGGGGGGATTTGTACTGTCCTGACATTTGGGGGGAATTTGTACTGTCCTGACATTTGGGGGATATCTGTCCTGTTCTGACATTTGGGGGATATCTGTACTGTCCTGACATTTGGGGGATATCTGTACCGTCCTGACATTTGGGGGATATCTGTACCGTCCTGACATTTGGGGGATATCTGTACTGTTCTGACATTTGGGGAATATCTGTACCGTCCTGACATTTGGGGGATATCTGTACTGTTCTGACATTTGGGGGGTATCTGTACCGTCCTGACATTTGGGGGATATCTGTACCGTCCTGACATTTGGGGGATATCTGTCCTGTCCTGACATTTGGGGGATCTCTGTACCGTCCTGACATTTGGGGAATATCTGTACCGTCCTGACATTTGGGGGATATCTGTACTGTCCTGACATTTGGGGGATATCTGTACTGTCCTGGCATTTGGGGAATATCTGTACCGTCCTGACATTTGGGGGATATCTGTACCGTTCTGACATTTGGGGGGTATCTGTACTGTCCTGACATTTGGGGGATATCTGTGCTGTCCTGACATTTGGGGGATATCTGTGCTGTCCTGACATTTGGGGGGTATCTGTACTGTCCTGACATTTGGGGGATATCTGTACTGTCCTGACATTTGGGGGATATCTGTCCTGTCCTGACATTTGGGGGATATCTGTACCGTCCTGACATTTGGGGGGATATCTGTACCGTCCTGACATTTGGGGGATATCTGTACCGTCCTGACATTTGGGGGATATCTGTACCGTCCTGACATTTGGAGGGATATCTGTACCGTCCTGACATTTGGGAGATATCTGTACCGTCCTGACATTTGGGGGGATATCTGTACCGTCCTGACATTTGGGGGATATCTGTCCTGACATTTGGGGGATATCTGTCCTGTCCTGACATTTGGGGGATATCTGTACTGTCCTGACATTTGGGGGATATCTGTACTGTCTTGACATTTGGGGGGATATCTGTCCCGTCCTGACATTTGGGGGGATATCTGTCCCGTCCTGACATTTGGGGGATATCTGTACTGTCCTGACATTTGGGGGATATCGGTCCCCGCATTCACTATATCCGGTCTCCCCGGACCCCGCATTCACTATATCCGCTCTCCCCGGACCCTGCGTTCCCTATATCCGCTCTCCCCGGACCCCGCGTTCACTATATCCGCTCTCCCCGGACCCCGCGTTCACTATATCCGCTCTCCCCGGACCCCGCGTTCACTATATCCGCTCTCCCCGGACCCCGCGTTCACTATATCCGCTCTCCCCGGACCCCGCGTTCACTATATCCGCTCTCCCCGGACCCCGCGTTCACTATATCCGCTCTCCCCGGACCCCGCGTTCACTATATCCGCTCTCCCCGTACCCCGCGTTCACTATATCCGCTCTCCCCGTACCCCGCGTTCACTATATCCGCTCTCCCCGGACCCCGCGTTCACTATATCCGCTCTCCCCGGACCCCGCGTTCACTATATCCGCTCTCCCCAGGCCCCGCGTTCACTATATCCGCTCTCCCCAGACCCCGCATTCACTATATCCGCTCTCCTCGGACCCCGCGTTCACTATATCCGCTCTCCCCGGACCCCGCGTTCACTATATCCGCTCTCCCCAGACCCCGCATTCACTATATCAGCTCTCCCCGGACCCCGCATTCACTATTTCCACTCTCCCCGGACCCCGCATTCACTATATCCGCTCTCCCCGGACCCCGCATTCACTATATCCCCTCTCCCCGGACCCCGCGTTCATTATATCCGCTCTCCCCGGACCCCGCGTTCACTATATCCGCTCTCCCCGGACCCCGCGTTCACTATATCCGCTCTCCCCGGACCCTGCATTCACTATATACGCTCTCCCCGGACCCCACATTCACTATATCCACTCTCCCCAGACCCTGTGTTCACTATATCCGCTCTCCCTGGACCCCGCATTCACTATATCCGCTCTCCCCGGACCCCGCATTCACTATATCCGCTCTCCCCGGACCCCGCATTCACTGTATCCGCTCTCCCAGGACTCCGCATTCACTATATCCTCTCTCCCCGGACCCCGCATTCACTGTATCCGCTCTCCCAGGACTCCGCATTCACTATATCCGCTCTCCCCGGACCCCGCATTCACTATATCCTCTCTCCCCGGACCCTGTGTTCACTATATCCGCTCTCCCCGGACCCCGCATTCACTATATCCGCTCTCCCCGGACCCCGCATTCACTATATCCGCTCTCCCCGGACCCCGCATTCACTATATCTGGTCCCCCACAGTACAC